AGAGAGAGAGAGAGAGAGAGAGAGAGAGAGAGAGAGAGAGAGAGAGAACACGCCATGGAGTGGACTTTTATTGGGGAACAAAAAATTCTGGGGAAAATCCCATCCAATGAAGATTAAGGGGGGCAGCATCCCAAGGTCAGGGGCAATGATTGGGTCTTCAGGGTAGTGGCCAGACATGCCTCCGAACAGACAAGCCTTCGGAACCTGAGAAGGATGGGGAAAGCTTTGGACATAGCTGTGCCTAAGCGCCTCTCACCCAGCCAGGGAGGTAACTCAAATCACGTGCGAGGATGGCCTCCCACACTTGAAGATATTGGTGGTATTATAGCAACTTATATCTCTCAAAATTCTTTTCTGTGTGGGTTCTCTCCTCAAGGTAACACATTTTATAAGATTATATCACTTTATTTTTATTAGTCATTTTTTTTGTTTTTTTGCAGTGCTGAGGGTTGAACCAGTGGTGCTCTACCACAGAGTCTTGTCCCCAAATCTTTATTTATTTCTTTTTTATTTGGAGACTGAGTCTTGCCAGGTTGTCCAAGCTAGCCTTGAATTAAAAAGGAAGAAAGCCATTTTCCCCCCTCTGTCAAATCTCTTTATGAAGATAAGAAAAAGCATCTCAGGGATGAAAGAATTTCCTTTATGTTTTTAAAAGAATAGAGAAATGACTTGTCTGCCCTTTCAGAAGCTGGGAGAGTTTCTTGTTGTTCTCCATAGATGTCACCAAACTATCTTTGTGAGTAGGTATAGGCATTAGCACATGTCACCTGTTCAGTTCAGGCACAGAGTTGTAGGTGTCTCATGAGATTGGCCTGTAGCAGAGAGTTAAGGGTGTAGGGTTTGGGGCTGGGGTTGTGGCTCAGTGGTAGAGTGCTTGCCTAGCACACATGAGGCGCTGGATTCAATCCTCAGTATCACATTAAAACAAAAAAAAACTAAATAAACAAAATAAAGCTATTGTGAACATCTACAACTAAAATTTTTTTTAAAAGCATGTGGAGTTTGGAGTGGGATTGCCTGTATGTAAATCCCAGCTCTGCCATTGTAGCTGTGCAACCTTGGCCAACAAGCCTCCTACCTCCTAGTGCCTTAGTTCTCTTGACTGTAAAATGGGGTGGCACATGGAATCCATGTCGTAAAGTTGTCAGAATTAAAGTCTTGTGTGAATTTCCCTCTAAACATTGTTCTTGCTGCTTCCTGCAAATTTTAATGTTTTATTTCCACTTTCATTTAGTTTAATCTTCTCTAAAGTTTCAGGAAACTTCTTTAATCAATGTTCTATTTTAAAATGTACTGTTTAATCTTTATGTATTTGGGGTTTGAGGGGTACCTTTGTGTTATCGATTTCTAGTTTAGTTTAATTGCCTGAGAGCTTATGTTGTAAGATTTCTATTCTTTTAAATCTGCTGAGGCATGTTTTATGACCCAGAATATAGTCTATCTTGGTGAATATTCCACATGAGTAGAATAGAGTATGTTTTCTTCCATTGTTGGATGAAGTATTTTATAAATTTTAGATCCATTTCATTGACAATGCTTTTCAGTTCAGCCATATTCCTATTTGATCATTCAAGAATCTTTATCATGTCTGAGTCTGATGCTTACTTTGTTTCTTTAGACTGTTATTTTTCAGCATAATTTTACATTTTTATTGAAAGCTGGACATGAATCTGGTAATGAGAACTACGGTAAATACTATTATGTGCTGCATGACAATGTTTCTGTTAGTGATAATGTTATGGCTTAGATATTAGTTGTCCTCCAAAAGCTCACGTGAGACAATGCAAGAACATTCAGAGGTGAAATGATCAGGCTACGAGAGCCTTAACCCAATCAGTGAATTAGTCTCCTGATGGGATTAACTGAGTGAGTGGTAACTGAAGGTGGATGGGGTGTGGCTGGAGAAGGTGCTTGGTGGTGTGCTTTTGGGGTATATATTTTGTATCTAGCAAGTGGAGTCTCTCTCTCTCTCTGCTTCTTGATTATCATGTGAGCTGCTTCCTTCTGTCATATTCTTCTGCCATGGTGTCCTACTTCACTGTGAGTCCCAAGGAATGAAGCTAGCTGTCTGTGGACTGAGTTCTGAAACTGTGAGCCCCCAAATAAATATCCCTCCTCTAAAATTGTTCTTGTCAGGTCTTTTAGTCATAGTAACAAAAAAGCTAATACAGGTAGACTGTGTATACAATGGTGGACTAATTAGATTGTATCATCTAGAGACATCATAGATATCTTAATTTGTCTAAGTACTCTATATGTTCTCACATAGAGTAAAAAAATCACTGAATTGTATGCTTTAAAAGAATAGATCTTAAAATTGTGATCTATATGTGTAATATGAATTGTAATGAATTCTGCCATTATAACAAATTAAAATAAAAATAGAATTTCACGTAAAAATAATAGATCTTACTTTATGTAATTGTTTGAATAAAACTGTTATAAAAAATGAGAGGTTTGTCTTCTATACCTTATTGATTGAAGAATTCTGCCACAAAACAAATTGCTGTTTCTGTCTTTCATGGTGCCTCTCAAATCTGTGTGAGTGGTTTCCCTCTTCTATAAGTCTTAAGTTTCATATTTGGATTGTTACACTATGTCCAACTCCTTCCTGTCTCAACAAATGACTTTTTCAAACAAAGCTGTTAGCCAGGGTTTTGCTCTTTAGGTACCCGACAGTGGTGTTTCCCCTGGCTTGTTCCCTGGTGTGAACATTAGGAAACAGCTTTGTCTTACTAAAGTACACATCTGGGTAGCAGAGATACAAAGTGCCTGGGCACTGGAGCCTTTACCTTCTACTCTTGCCAGACTCAGTTAATTTCCCAAGAGCTTCCCCTGCATCCAGTAATACATTAATGGGGTGCTCAATGGAGGGTTAAGTTAGATGTGTGTTCTGGGCAGGTGGGAGGCTAGACAGCATGTTTTGATCTGGGTAGTTTAGAGGGTGGGCCTTTGGATAAGGTTTGTGCTGGTGCAGATGGTGTGAAGTGACATTGTAACACCTGGACTTCTCTGATTCTAAGGATACAATTTATGATTCTAATGTATCCCCGAATGGAACTCTCATAGCCCCTGGGCACCTGGGTGTCAGGGTTCTTTCTAGAATGATTATTTTTTGTGGCTTCTTTCTCCCTGTGCCTTCTCAGGTGGGGTTGCTGACACCCTTACCTCCAGCATTTTAAAATTTAAAAAGCTGGATTTGGGATACTTTCCTAAAATCCATGAGGCCTTGGATTCAATCCCCAGCAATACCTCCCCGCCCCCCCCCCAAAAAAAAATCAGTGTGGTTAAGAAAATACTTGATTGCAAAAATAACCAAAAACTGAAAGTACTGAAGCTTTAATATCAAACAGTAGCTTTTGTCATTGGGATCTGGAGACAAAGTATGAAGAAATGGAGCTCACCTTTGGAAAAGTCAAGGGTGCTCAGCAGAAGCTATAATCACTTGTTCCAATTGCCATTTCCTCATTCTTAAGTAAATAAATAAAATACTATGAGTGATTAAAGACAAGTTCTTTTTTTTCTTATTTAGATGTTGTGTTGATCTTAAATCAGCTCATGCTAACTTTTGGGCTCCTGGTTTGCCAGGGTTACCTTGCCAGTGGTGATAGCTTCTCCCCACTCCCAATTATTAGGTCTGTTTCTGGTTAGAGTTGGTCTAGGCTGCAGGCAGAAGAGGGATGGGAGCTAATGGTTTTACTAAAAAGATCATTGGAGCGGGAATCCTCAAAGGAAGGCTTAGAGTGAGGGGTACCCTAGGACACAGTGGTTGCCAAGAAACATCACATATGGAGCCAGATACCCCTTCCCTGCATGAGGATTTCCATAAGTGAAACTAGGAACCAGGGCTTCTGTGTTCCTTCTGCTTGATCTTGCTATTATTTGTGATGGTGCTGTAGGCTCCTGGGATCCCTGATTGTGGCTCCTAAACTATAATGCCTCCTGTCCTATGCAGAAACATCTAAGAAGAGAATTTCTCAGACTAGGTTGCTTTTGTTGGAAAGTGATGATTGGGTACTAAGCACTCATTCAATCCCACCAGCCTGCTTTCTTCCCCAGGGAGCACCTTTGCATTTCTCCATAGGTGGAAACCTTCTCATTTTCCCCAGACCAGCTCCCATCCTTTAGAATCCTGTGCAAATGTCACCTCCTCTGGGAAGTCTTACTACATTGGGAGTTTGATGTTCAGGTTCTTTCTATCCTTAGCTGTGGGACTGAATGAGTGATTACTCATTCAGTAACTCCAGGCAAACTCTCCCATTGCTCTCATTTTCAGTGTCCTCATCTCCAGTGAAAGTGGGAAATGGAAAGAGCATTTCTGAGGCCTCTAGGACCCTGGGCAACCTTCCCTCCACATTGCCTCCCCCGCTATGCAGCTCTGATCTTACATTGCTCTGATCTTCAGTGTCTTCATCTCTGAAACACACTTATCATGCCCTGCCTGCCTTGTAGGGCTGTCATGAGGCCCAATTTTAGAACCTCTCTGAAACTGTACTGTGCTGCACAGTTGGGAAAGGGATAGGCAGGATGATTTCTTTGTTCTTGGGTGTGTGATTGGGGAGTATATTGGGTGGTCCTGAGAACTATAGTGTTTCTGCTCATTTTTCTCACTGTAGGCTGTTTTATGGGCAACAACATAGTGCTGGATGTGTTGCATTGCAAAGGCCATGAGAACATGCCCTGGCTAGATGTCCCATCAACAATTGGTTGTATCTGGGTAGACAGCAGCAAGGGGACTGGCTGCCTGGGCACCAGGGTGGCTGTTATCTTCAGAGGCTCCAGAGGACCACAGCATGGTCATTTCCTTGGGGCCCAGGAGAATGGTCATTAGATGGACACTGATGGACATTAGATGGCTGGGGTTGTATCAGACGTGGGTGACTGGGTGGGTACTTGGGACTGCTGAGGGTGCTGTGAACTCTTTCTTAGCAGCATTTAGGGGGAAGGGAACGTGGAGGGAAGGTTGCCCAGGGTCCTGGAGGCCTCAGGGATTAATGCTCTTTCCATTTCCCATTTTCCACAAGACACTTGGCTTCTTCCAGAAAAACCTCCTTGGGATTTGTTGTTCTCCATTACCATGGCCATGGCTCATTCCAGGCGTTTCTCTTTCTGATTCATTCTTTACCATTCTGTGGGACTAATCTTTCAAGTATCCTCTACTCAGAACCTTCCAAGATTACTTGTTCTCTTTAAAAGTCCAGTGTTTTGGCATTCAAATCTCTTTTCTAGCATTACCACTTGCATCAGAAAAATCTTCATTTCCTGCTATGTTACTGCCTTTGCTACTGCTGTTTTCCCTGACTAAAGTGCCATCCCTCCCTGAGTCAGCTCTACTGTCTGCCCAGCCACTCTCCTGCCTGTTCTTTTCTCAGATCTGGAGGGAAAGCCCTGCCATGAGTGGTTCTCTGCTTGGGGCAGGGAGATTGTGGGTCTCCATCTATTGGATTGACTTCCAGGAAAGCTGGGGTGCTGACTGAGCTGGGGCTTGACAGCTATCCCTTCGGGGTACTAGAGAGGACTTGCTCGGGGAGTGTGTATGTGGTGTGCATGTGTGGTCTGTTGTGTGATGGATAGTATGTGTGGAGTGCACATATGTGGTGTACATGGTGTGTATGTGTGTGTGTGTGTGTGTGTGTGTGTTCTGTGTCTTGTTAGTTGTCTAATTCTGCCTCTAACCCTGATATCAGCCCCTGGTGAAAGGAAGGTGAGGAAACAGTATTTATTTATTAATAGATTCTGTTTTGGTGCAGTCACTCTGGAAAGCAGTATGTATATTTCTCAGAAAACTTGGAATGCAACTACCATTTGACCCAGCTATTTTAGTTATATTTGACAGCAGAATATATTTTGATATAATTATATAATCATGGAATGTATTTTATTCAAGTTAGGATTCCATCGTTATGGATGTACATGATGGTGTGATGGTGGGATTCACTGTGTTGTTTTCATATATGTACGTGGGAAAATTATGTAAGATCCATTCCACTGTCTTTTCTTTTCCTATCTCCCCTTCCTTCTTTCATTTCCCCATTGTCTAATCTACTGCACTTCTATTCTTCCCCTCACCCACCCATATTTTGTGTTATCTTCCACATATCAAAGAAAGCATTCAACCTTTGATTTTTGGGGGATTGGCTTATTTCAGTTAGCATGATAGTCTCTATCTCCATCTACTTGCTGACAAATATAATAAGGTCATTCTTCTTTATGGCCAAGTAATACTCCAGTGTGTGTGTGTGTGTGTGTGTGTGTGTGTGTGTGTGAATCACATTTTCTTTATCCAATCACTTATTGAAGGGAACTTATTGGTTTCATAGTTTAGCTATTGTGAATTGAGCTGCTATAAACATTGATATGGTCCTGTCACTGTAGAATGCTGATTTTTAAATGTTTTGGATATACTCCAAGGAGTGGGATAGCTGGGTCAAATGGTGGTTCCATTCCAAGTTTTCTGAGGAATCTACATACTGCTTTCCAGAGTGACTGCACCAATTTGCAGTCCCACCAACAATGTATGATGTACCTTTTCCCGCACATCTCACCAACATTTATTGTTACTTATATTCTTGATGATTGCCATTCTGACTGAAGCAAGAATCTCAATGTAGTTTTGATTTGCATTTCTCTAATTGCTAGAGATGTTGAACATTTTTTTCATATATTTGTTGACTAATTATATTTCTTCTTCTGTGAAGTGTCTGTCGCAGTAGAATGAAATTTAGCTCCTGTTTTCACCCTGCACAAAACTCTGCTCAAAGTGGATCAAGGACCTAGGTATTAGACCAGAAACCCTGTATATACAAGAAGAAAATGTAGGCCCAACACTCTAACATATCATCTCAGGAACTGATTTCCTTAATAAGACTCCTAAAGTGCAAGAAGTAAAATCAAGAATCAATAAATGGGCAATAAATGGATGGCATCAAACTAAAAGCTGCTTCACAGCAGAGGAACAAACAAAAGTGTGAAGAGCCTACACAATAGGAGAAAATCTTTGCCACCTGCTCCTCACATAGAGCATTAGTTTCAGGGATAAAGAACTAAAAAACTTAACACCAAAATAAACAAACAACCCCACAAATAACCCAACCAATAAATGGGCAAAGGAACTGAACAGAAACTTCACAGAATGAAACTATTTAAAAAAGTTCTCCAGGAGATTGTGATGCACAGAGAGGGCTGGGAATCTGTTCTCTCATCAAGCTGAGATGCTCACATTTTTCAGTAGAGAAAAAGAACATTTATTGATGGATTATCAGGTGGTAGTCAGGTTCTTGTAGACTCTTGCTTAATTTTCAAAACCAGCTGCTAGGTGGAAATTTCTATTTAATGACGAAAACACTGTGAAAGGTCACACAGCTAGTCAGAGCCAGGATAGAAGTCAGACCCCTTCACCTCCAAAACCCTCTCTTTTTGCCCTTTCTCCCATCTTTTAGTTTCCAGCCTTTTCACCATTGTTCATGTATTTTCCTCTGCTAGGGATTCATTCACTATCCTCAATCCCAGTTCTTGCTATTGGAATCTGTGACTTCAGTGTATACACCACATCCTCTGCTCCTACAGCCTGGGGTCACCCTCTTCATGATCCTAAGTTATTTGGTTTGTGCTTCTGTATGGCTTTGAGTAAGAGCTCTCTTTTTCTTCTAGAGCCTTCAGGATAAGTATCTATTTTTTTTCCCAAAACTAAGTTCTCAAAAGTCTCTATCCTGGCACTTGGCATAAAGTAGGTCTCAACTAGAGTTGGTTGATTTGTAAATATTATTATTATTGTGATAACCCATGGGCACTCATTTAGCCAGTGGCGGTATATGAGAGATTTTAGTGATCAACTTGATAATTGTGGTCCTTTGAGGCAAAGGTGGAGGATAAAATCTCCAAAGGAGCATCAGAGAGAAGGGGCCAATGGGGAAGGGTTAAGGGCCAGAGTAGAAAAACTGTGTGCTTAGCAGTGATTGAAACATAGTGCATAGGTTGTCTGATCCTCACAGGTGAGATAGGTCAACTTTACCCAAGTGTCAGAAACTCAGAAAGGTTAATATTCTCATCCAAAGCTCCAAGCCTGGGCTTTTTTCTAGATACCACATTCTTTAAATTCTCCAAATCTTGGAGAGCCTTGGGTAGGGCACCCTCCCTCTGCAGGCCCAGTTTCTTTGTTGCTACAATGAAGGATTCATCTAAATGGTGTTGCAGTGTGTGCCAGGCATTATGCTAAGGAGAGTAATGACTATAATAGTTCATGTCCTCTAGAAACCTTCTAGCTGTGACTTTATGTTTATGAGGTCCTCAGTCTCAGAATCAGAGTAAGAGTAGTGGCCTTTTGTTTTCTTTCTCTTCCACTTGAGGAATTACTTTTTTTTTTTTTACCTTGTATAGGTCTTTCCCTTGTTTACTTCTCTTATACCTCTTCCCTTTTTCACACAATTAATAGATTAATAGTAACTGACCTGTGAGGTTCTGCCAGGTTGTTAGTCAGAGCTGAGGCCAGCTTCTGGCAGGTAGACATTTCATCAAGGTTGAATCAAGAGCAGAGTAAATTATTTCTTATATGCTGGTTGTCTGCACCCACATCACTGGGGAAGGAAAGTCCCCCTGCTCCCCTTTTAGGCAGATAGATGTGAGCATAAAATCCCTCATGGCCTACATCAGGAGATAATGAGTAGAATTCTTCTCTTATGGCACTCTTCTTCTATCCCCCAACTAAATCCTTGATAAAAGTCCTACTGTAGGAAGAAACTTGGCCCTTCTGATGGCTTAATTTTTTTCACTGAAAGTGGTGTTTGAGGACTATAATTACCTTTAGGGGAAAACTAGAAGCAAGTCTGAGTTTCCCATAAGTTGTAAAAATATATGTTACCTTTGGGAGAGATGGTTTAAAGGCAGACCTGGTGAGAAGTGTTAGAGGCCAGCCCTATGAGCCAGCACTTCATATGAGGATCGGGTAGCCACCAAGGGACAGAGAACCTATTTCTATTCCAATATAACCTCTCAAAAGAATACAAGAGGGTTAAGGGTCACTTTTTTTTAAAAGCAAATGGCACTTAAACAGTTTATCTTTAAATGCTATAATCTTCATTGACTTTCTAGACAGTACTTACGTATTCATGGTTGGGAAAGTGCAGTAATTATATACAGTAAAAAAAAAAAAAAAATCTTTGGGTTTTCTCCCAAAGGACAGGAGATTTTGAGAGAACAGGGTGAGGATATGTGGAGGGGAAATAAAGGTGTCAAAATGACCAATTTTCCAGGTGGCTTTGTGAACAAGGTGTTCTTGGCAGGATCATGAGGTCCTGAGCCACAGGAGCAGGAAGGACCATGCTATGCAGCCCTCCCCTTCCACCCTAGTTTACATAGAGGAGTAAGAGCCCATCTCACACTGGCTCCATTGGACATCTTTGCCTTGGAAGTGCCAGTCTTGGCAGCACTGGCACTGGAAGCCCTGTCTGTGACTCGCTGCCCCATGAGCCCTTGCCTGAAAGTGCCAACCAACTAGACTAGTCGGGACAAAAGTTCAGGAAGAAGCGGAGGTGCCTGGTACTGAGGCAGTGGTTCAACAACCTGTGGGTCTTCCTGGAAGAGAGGTGAGACAGATGGGCAGAGCCATGCTGGCATCTCTCCTTCCCCTGAAATATGGGTGGTGAGCAGACCCAGGTGACTCTTAAACTGAGAGGGCTGGGAATTGCCCAATCAGGGAGCAGCCTTTCCCAGTCATTTCTCTTCTGCCTGTGCTATGATGTGAATCCAGATTTAAGGTTACTGTTTCAAGCCAAGGCAAGGGCCACATGTTTATGTTTGTGAAAGAACAAATGTGGGGGCTGGGGTTGTGGCTCAGTGGTAGAGTGCTCGCCCAGCATGTGCGAGGCACTGGGTTCAATTTTTAGCACCACATATACATAAATAAATAAAATAAAGGTCCATCGACATCTTAAAACAACAACAACAACAACAAATGTGGGGGTAAAGGTAGATCTTTTTTAAAGTAGAATGAAGGTTGTGAAGAATTTAATTTTCCAGCCCTTTCTCCTAGCAGATCTGGGAGAATTTTGTAGTTTTGCAGAGCTAGAATCAACTCTGTAGGAATGGGCTTGTTTTCTGAGAGTGGTTAAACACAAGATGCCCTCTGAGGGCTAATGTGTGGATCAGAGTTGGATAGAAAATTGTGGTTCTGCAGGGCATAAAGCTTATAGAAAGGCTGGGATCCACAATCCAGTTAAAATAAACCCAAGCTCATTGAGTTCCTCCTAAGTCTGCTGTTGTAGTGGTGCTATTTGTCGGGTGAAACACATAGACATTGATCTCTGCCTTCAAGGAGCTCACAGTATGCACATGAAGCTAGATTTTGAGTAAATGATCTGCAAAGAAAGTGTAGGTGCTGTGGGCGTGTGTGTACTGTGTATATGAGTGGGGAGTGTGACCAGGAGGAGCCTGCCTGAAATAATCCTTGAATCAAGAGTCAAATGGTGTGTATATAGTGTGGGGGTAATTGGCAAGACTACTAAAGTCCTCTGTCATTTGGTTTTCTGGGAGTAGTGGCCAAAGTCACAAAATAGGGCCAAAGATATAGGCAGCCTGTCCACATACTAATATCTATTCCTGCCTTTAAAGGGGGGAAATGAAAAACCCAGGGGATGTTTGGGGGAATTGGAGTATATATTAGGCTTTTGCTGTGCCCTGAGATTCTGTATTTCTCTTGAATTCCTAGTGCTATGGCCCCACAACTCCAGGTCCCTGTCCTGGACAGGCATATCTCTGCTGAATTGTGGCTCCCTCACCACAGACATTCCCACCACAGCCAGATGGTGGCCAGTACCACCTGCCTGTCTCTCTGGACTTCTGTGTTCTTGGGACTGGTGGTTGCTTTCCCAACAGAGACATCCCTCTTGTAGCAACTGGAGGAGCCAGGCCAAGACCTTACTTAAAGGATTGCCATTCCCGCATTCCACACTTTGGTCTGGTCTTGATAAGCCCAACCCAGGAGAGAAGACATCTGAAGAAGAAGCCCAGTGGTGATTCTTCTCCTCCTAACAAATGACCTGGGTTATCCAACAGTGTTGGGAGGAGATGTACAGTTTTGTAACATAATGAGTTGGATGAAAATAAATTGTAAATGAATGGTATGAAATAACTAAATACTGTTTTTGTGTAGACTTTTTTTTATGATGTGAATCTAAGAGGCAAATAACTTTCGCTCACACCCTCTGAAAACTATCATTGCTTTCTTCCTGGGCTTTGCACTATTCAGCTGCAGATCTTGACCTGTCTCTCCCTCCTTCTGCTGTCCTTCCAGTTTGCCCCAAATTTTGGATGCAGGGCAGTCAGTAGGCCATGTATGTCTCTGTTCAAGGACTGGTGAACAGGGTGCTCCTTGTGCTCTGATAGGTACTTCTTTACATATATTAGTGTGACTTTCTGACATGCTGGAGACTGGGGGGATGGGCAGGCTTTTCAGGGGTGTTGTGAAAGAAGTGGTTTTTAAACTACTCACTCCTGTCTTGTTATTTATTATTTACATGTTTACTGATAATGCCTTTTACAAATAAAATCTTATGGGGGAGCTATAAAAGTAATTGCAGAACTGCCCTAATTGTGTCTGAAATGGGAACGTTACACCCTCTCCAGATCATCTATCTTCTTCTAATCCCCAAATTTCAGACCAGGATCTCCTCCCTGTGGCAAGGTTCCCTTCTGGTCCTCCTAGGCCTCTGAGTAGCTCACAAAACTCCAAGTAGGTCTGCTTGGGACTTGAGTGGGACCAATAAGAAGTAGTTGTGTTTGTTCCAAATCTGGTTTAGAGTAAGCTTGATTGCCTGGGCTTGTAGCTTTGCCTTTCCTTCCTTTCATGAGGCTTTCTTGTGAGCTCATTCTCAATCATTTTTGTGGCCTTAACAAAAGTAGTGCAATAGCACTTAGGATCCTTTGTTTCATTTTGTAACCCGTGTACTATAGGAGGTAGGAGGGCTAAAAACTTCCAGATTTCCTTGCTGCTATGATTTAGATTCTCCTAATGAGACACAATGAGTAAGGTTTGGAAGGCAGGAGTGGGCAGAGTGTCTTTTTCTTCATTGGTGGCAGCAATCATGCAGTCTCCAGCAGACATAAGTTTGTGCAGTGGCCAGGCTTTGCTTCATACTCTGGTCACCTTCATGGGTGTGGAGCACCTATGAGGTTGACACTTTCCTGTAGCTTTCTGACTTTGGATTATAGCTTCCATGGTGCCTGATATTGACCCTCTGACTTCTGTAGCTGTAGAAGTGCCTTTGTTGGCTTCTATTTATGCTTGAAATACCCAAGAGTAGTCTTTGCATTGAACTCTGATAGAAATGGGACTCCATACTTTTTTGCAACTTGAGTCAAGTTGATTGAGAATGAGCTCACAAGAAAGCCTCAGGAAAGGAAGGGAAGTCAAAGCTACAAGACCAGACAATCAAATTTATCCTAAACCAGATTTGGAGCAAACACAACTACTTCTTATTGGTCCCACTCAAGTCCTTGAGTTAATTTTGTCAGAAGTGGAGATAAAGGTAGGGGGCAGAGATAAAATGGGACAGTAGGATCACTGTGGTTGATCCTATTCCTCCCACATTTTGTAAGAGGGTGGTGTGGCTTTTTCCAGAGGCTCATATGTGTGTTTTCCCCAATTTCCTGGGTTATGTTATGGCCAAGGAAGCAATGATCCTTGTTGGAAGGGCTGGCATAAAATGTTTCTCAAAATGGGCTGCTCCACTTATTCACTGGGCCAACAACCTCTGCTTTTGAGGTGATGGGCTCAAACATACCTGGTGGGGACTTGGTTAGTTTTCACCCAGGTTCATATTAAAATAAAGGAGGAAAATTCCTCTGTACTTGGGCAGGAGCAGCCTGCACTTTTATGAAAATGAAGGCCCTTCCAAGGTTTGTAATATAACCTCATAGAGTCGGGTAACTGGCACCATGGCCAAGATCTTATCTTCCTGCTCATTTGCTTTACCAGTTGTTGCAACCACTGAATTCACTCCCCAGGTGCTGGGTTCTGAGAGCCTTAATTAGTCTAGAAACAGAAGCACCCAGGGCTATGTGACTAAAGTACACATTGACCTTTCATAAGAGTGTGATGAGGAAGGGAGCCTGTGTAGGTGAGGGGATAAGTCCTGACTCTTCCAGTGGGTCCCTCAGGTTACTGATGGGAAGAGGCCTGACTCTCACATGGATGAAGGAACAGGTTTAATAGGTGGGTGCAGAACCCACCGTCTTCACATCAAAGCCTGGATTACTAACAGAAAGAACTCAGAACACTTTATTTTAAGTCATAAGAGAAACAGCCATACTTACTTACTACCTTAAGTCAAATCAGAAGTAACATCATTTTGCTCCAATGTAAATTGGTCAAACTTTCCCCTCCATCAGGGAAGACCTCTGGACTAATGTGGCATTTGTTCACTCATTCAGTTGGCAGAGCAAAGCTGATCCCTTAGCAATCCAGTAGTCTTTAGACCGATTGGAGGGTAAAAGGATAGTCACCACAAAGTTGGTTGAATGGCCTAATTAAAGATATAGGGGATGGGATGGGGGGAAGAATTGTTATTTAAAAAATAACTTCCAGATATAAAGAGACAAGATAATGAAAGTTGAAACAGCTGGGTTTCAGACTGCCTCTAGCCTGTAGGCAAAGAGTCCTCTGTGAGCTTCAGGTTTATGTGCCATAAAATGAAGATTTGAAGCCAACTATAGTAGCACACACCTATAATACCAGCTACTAAGGAGGTTGAGGCAAGAGGATTACAAATTTGAGGTCAGTCTTGGCAACTTAGCCAAAAATGAAAAAGTGGTGAGGTAGGTTGGGAGTGTAGCTTAGTAGTAGAATGCTTTTCTAGCATGCTCTAGATCCTGAATTCAAGGCTTATTTACACCTGCACACACATGAAAAGAGTTTAGAATAATGGTCCTTTATGACCTGTACAGCTTAGACTTTATAACTTTAAGAGCTATGTTTTAAGTTTTCTGCAGTCTGAATCTAGGGCACTGGACTAGGATTCAAGACTGAGTTTTCAGTGGCACAAAGGAGGATGTAGTTGTGGGTTGGGCATCCAGCCCATCTGCCCTTCTGTCCATCCATCCACGCATTCTTTGTTCTATTCTGTAGTGGTAGGCACTTGGGCTCCTGAGATGAATAAGCATAGTTACAGGTATTTTCTATTCTCAGCTCTTACACATCCAATATAAAAGAGCACTTCTGCAACTTTTCCATTGTGGGTCTCTGTGAGGTGACCAGGATAAGGTTGAGAATAGGGTCTCGCCCTTGGAATGGGATTGCTACTTATAACACTGCTTTCACAGCAGCCCCCATTTGTGTGAACTTTGGGGAAAGCCCTGATGCCCCCAGGAGATAATGCCTATATCTCCCTCTCCTTACTTTTGTGTGCCATCCCCTTCATGGTGGTCTTGAGGTGTCTGTGATAGGCCTCCCATGCCACCAGCCCCAGTTTGAGGGAAAGCAAGCCTAGACAGTCTTAATGTATACTTACTGATTTCATGGGACACAGAAATTTAGTCCAAGGTCCTAAACATCCCTTACAACCTCCCCTTCCCTTTCCCACACTTCCATGCACACATCCCCCTCAGATAATCAGTGCCTCTACTGTATGAGGCCTCCTCTAGGTAGGAGGAAGTACTTGGGGACATAACCAAATTTCTACAGCCATTGAATCTGATTTAAGCTGAATCAGTTTGCTCTTGTCCAGAAATGAATTTAGCTGACTTACAATAATTCTTAATCTCCACATCTCACCACTGCTTTCTAAGGGGTTCATTGTACATACAGAGATGACTTAGTAGTTATATACAACTGTCTCCAACAGTGGTGATTGGGATTGGTATGTGTGACCACATGTCACATGTCCTAGAGGGTGGATATCAGGTTCTGTGCCACAGTGGCTGCAAAACAAGGGTCGTTAAAGCAACCATACTGCTATTCCACCAGTGGATCATGGTTAAGAGGAATTTGCCAGTTTTCTTATAGGAACTAGGAAAGAAATAGGATGACTAGAAGGAACTTATGAGTAGCTGAGTGTGTGTATGGAACAGTTGTAAAAATAAAGATTGTCTTCTCTCAGGGGTCATTGGTGCTTTGTATGCAATATTTGAGAACCTGGCAGGTTTAAAGGGTCTTAGAACTATCAAGCCAGGTTAAAGGAAAGCTTGCTGCCTCCAGACGGGATCAGATGCTGTCAGTGGTCTTAGCTGGACTAGCTTTTAGTGGGGTGGGTGCTGTGCCTCGGTGAATGAACATCTTTTGCACCCAAGATTAACTCAGGCCTCCACTGACTTGTATTAAGATATGAACTGGGACTGGGGTTGTAGCTCAGCGGTAGAGCGCTCACTTAGCATGTGTGAGGCCCTGGGTTCGATCCTCAGCACCATATAATAATAAATAAATAAAGGTATTGTGTCCAACTACAACTAAAAAGAATAAATATTTTTTAAAAAGATATGAACTGCCTGTTTCCATCACTCCTTACTCCTTACTCTGAAGACCTGGACATGCATTAGTTCAAATAAAGTAACTTTTAACTTGAACAAGGTAGTGATAAATTTTAAGAATGCACTGACCAAAATCCAGACTTACTATTAATGTTTTATCATGTTTTTTCCTTTAAATATTATTTTAGATATTTATGGACATTTATTTTATTCATTATTTATATGTAGTGCTGAGGATTGAACCTAGTGCCTCACACACACTAGACAAGTGAGCTACCACTGAGTCACAAATCCAGCCCTGTTTTTTTTCTTTTAATGGAAAAATCGAAACATAGATAAAGTTGAAGTTCCTTTTGTCCCCATCCTTTCCCCACACATTCCTTATGTTCTTCAGATTATTTTGAAGCAAATACTAGATAACATATACATGTTTTTCAAATATTTCAGTATGTAACTCCTAAAAGCATAAGCACTGTTACAGTAACATAAGAACTATTATAAGCACTATTATAATAAGCACTATTATAGCAAAAACAAAAGCATAAGCACTATTATAGCAAAACATTAATCATTCCTAATAGCAAATATATAGTTATTATTTGAATTTCTCCAATTAGTGTATATGTATGTGAGTATATACATATATGTTTTTATAGTAAATATAAATTATATCTGTGTTTAATGGTTAGTTTGATTCAGGTTTCAAATAAGTTCCATACCTTATAATAGTGATGTGTCTCTTAAATCTCTTAATTGGTAGGTTCCCCCTCTGCTTCTTTGCCACCCCTAGCCATGTATTTATTGAAGCAACCAGGGTTTTTGGACCTGTTAAATTTCCCAGAGTTTGGATTTTTCCAATGACATCCTGGTGGTGATTTTAAACATGTTCTTTTATTCTTGTAAAAGAGTATTAGAGATCTAGAGGTTTGATTATATATAGGTTTCAGTTTTTGGCACAAACACTTCATAGGTGGGGTGAACTTCCATCAGGAAGCACATTTATGTCTTGATTTTCTTTTTTTTTTTGGGATATTAGCAACCATTGAGCATTATTACCATTATTTCATTAGGGGATAATTATTTTATAATTTAGTGACAATTAAGTCTCAATAATCCATATGTGGTTTAATTTTTTATGTGTGTGGTATAAGATCTAAATTTAGTACAACCAATTGTTCCAGCACCATTTGTGGAATAATTTCTACATTCCTGACCAATTTTAAATGATACTGTTTTTATGTCAAGTTCCCACATACACACCCTGTTTCTGAGGCTTTCCAGGGTACATGTAATCTATTTGTTGAGTCTTGTGCCACTGTAATACCACTTTAATGACTACATTTTAATATTTGTTAAAAGTAGACTCTCTTATTATCTTTAAAACTGTTTGTTATTCTTTGTTTTATTAGTTTGTTTGATTTTATATAAGAACCAGACTATAAGTTCTTTCAACAATTATATTTATTTTATTGAGAATAAAATAAATATAAATCTAGAGATTAATTTGGGATGTAATTGGAATATTTACAATATGGAATCTTCCCACTAAATATGATATAGTTCCTCTATAAAGTCTTGTTTTGTGGCCCTCAATAACATTTTATGAAGTTCTCAAAAAGGATTTTGCCCCTTTTTGTCTGGTCTGGTCCTAGTCTTCTAATCAATTGTATTTTTTATTGGAATGGAATATTTTATTTCTCTTTCATTTCTATTTGTTTTTGATGGAACACAGGAATTCTATTGATTTTAAAATTTACAAATATTTTAAAATATTTGTCAATTCTGCTGGACTTCTATTTCTAGCAGATTTTCTGTAGATTATTTTGGGTTTTCCATTTAATCAATTAAACTGGCAAATAATTCTCTTTTTTTTTTCATTTTCTTATTGATTTGGTTAGGACTTCCTGAATAATGCAGGAGTTTGAGTAAGTACCCTGGTATGGATTTTTACCTTAATCAGAGCCTCTAATATTTAACCAGTAAGTATTCTATTCATTGAATTTGAAAACTATTGAATTGATATCATCATTGTCTCAAGTTGGATGTTGATTAGTAGGTGAAGACTACCTCATCCTTTTCTGTGAGATGAGATTACCTTTCCTCACAGAGAAGCTTCTCATATCCTCCCAGAGTTCCTAGCTGCAGGACTCAGATACCAGAGATGCTGACTACTCGAGGTTTGCCCTTTTCATATCTGAGAAGGTTAATATTGTTCTGTGCCAGAACTCTTGGATCATGACTAAAGTTTACATTACCATTTAAAAAGAATTTAAATAAGCAGTTTCCTTTCTTAAAGTGAAATATTTCATAGTTCTTAAATCTAATTTTGTTACCCATAAGTTCACATCCAAATCCAGGGAAAAAGCTGAATCACTGTTCAGACAAAATTTTCATCACGACTGCTTGTTCTGCCTGCAGTTTACTTAGGTGGTATTTACTATGTACTGTACTGGACACCACCCTTTAAATATATCAACACATTCCTTCACTATTTTAAAAAGCACCCCTCAACTGTGTGAGATCTCTTAATCTAAGGATACAAGTGCTTCATTAGTTTTGGGAAATTATCAACCATTATTTTTTCAACTATTCCTTCTTCTCCATTCTCCTCACTTCTTCTAGGTTGCCTACTAGAGAAATATTGGAGATTCTGGCTCTTTGCACAATCTCAAGTTTTCCTATTATATGGTGCTATATTTTGAGGGACTTTTTTTCTGTTCATTCTTTAGCTGTCTCTCAGCTTTTCTGTTGAGATGGTTTCCTTTCTATGTGCTTCCTTTTTTTCAGGGCTGTATTTGAGTTTCAGGTCCAGAGCTTTGTAACACAGATTTCCATCTATGTGTTTATTTTAAAAAATATCTTTTCTTAGATTTGTCAAAATGGATTTGGTGAGAGATTTTAGTGTCTATTCAGTCCATCATTTTGAAAATGGAAGTCTCTGCTCATTAAACTCTATTTTTTCTACTGATTAGATTCTAACAGAAACAAGCATTAGTGTTGTAATGTCAATCTACACTCAATATTAGAACAAATACAATTTACAACATTTATGAATTCATAAGTTACAGGTGGCCTTATTATAAGTCTAGTTAATTGGCCCAAGAACTCCCTTGTGCATTTCAGCTAGTGTTTAGGCTTCTATTGAAGTTTTTATTTGGTCATTATCTGTACTAATCTTAAGAACATCCTTACCTGTAGTTGAGAGTGTTCCTGCCCGGGCCCCTGTTTTATAGAGTGGGGAGTGGTAAAGTGTTGGGTCTGGCTCATAGTTTTGTTGTGGTTCAAAATGCACAACAGGCAGCATTGGATTCATCTGTCCAGGCAAGGCATCTTCTATAATCATCGCCTCATCATCCCATTGAGAAGCATCCATGAACATCCCATGAACAAGAACACCATCCTCAGGAGAAGGCAACTGAAAGATACTCACAGGATTAGAGGTGACAGGAGGAGTATATGATCAGCATTTAGGGTCATTCACATCCTTAAAAAGTAATTCTAAAAACACCCTAAAATTATTGTTACTATATTTAAAGAGGGGCATCCCAAGAGTCTGGGAAATAAAATAATTTGCTTCTTAATTTGATACTGTATCTCTTACTTTCCATACTCCACCAGGATGTCAATAGGGATGCCCCTGGGAAGTCCATTTATGGGCTTTCAGACTATCTGATATCATGATAAAATAGCTTTCCCTTTCTCTTGAGAATCGAGTAGGATAAGAGGAATGGGATTATCATCTTTTAGCAAGGTCTTTCATGAATTTGGATGCCCTCTTTGAAGACAGATTATATACTGTATATCGGCAATAATATGCAGAGTGTCTAAGGAAAACTCCTTTTTTTTCTTTCTTTCTGCTTAACGAAATACGATTATTATTACTATTACTATTTGGTACCAGGGATTGAATTTAGGGGTATTTGACCACTGAGCCACATCCTCAGCCCTATTTTGTATTTTATTTAGTGACAGGGTCTCAATGAGTTGTTTAGGGCCTCACTTTTGTTGAGGCTTGCTTTGAACTCGTGATCCTCCTGCTCAGCCTCCTGAGCTGTTGGAATTACAGGCATGCGCCACCATGCCTGACCTAGAAATATGATTACTTTATAATATTACTAGTGAAAGGAAGAGAGAGAGAAGAGAGACCGTATCCTTTAGTGTCCTGGGATTAGATGTCTCCTTGGGTACACCTGTGCCATCTTTCCAAATCTGGGCCTGGCCCTGAGCCTTTGAATAAAAGGAGAACCATGCCTGTGGACAGAGGATTAAACATCACTAGCAATATGTAGTACAGGTTATAATAAATGAATTTTTTTGACTGGTCTTTGCTATTTGGTGACCTTCTGTTTCTTGGGTGCAGCAGTGTGGGGTGGGCCTTTTGTTTTCTTAGCTGCTATGTATGTATAGGTTTGTCTAAAAGTCATCTTGCCACCTCCTTACCAAACCATGTATAGGAGCAATCTGGACATCCACACAGAGGGAGAACATTTTCCTAAGTGGCATAAAGGTGGCAAATTGGCTGCCAGTGTTCCTGCCTGATTGTAACAGAAATAAAGCTGTCTAAATACACACCCTGGCTTCTTTTTCAGACATTTTCTGAGTGGATCAAAAGACAGGCCAGCTAGACAATCTGAGATCCCCAGAGATCTCAGAGATTCTAAGGCATTGTCATGGTTCAGTGCACAGCATGGGTGGGGTGGAGTGTAAGAGGTCCTGGTTGTCACTGTAAACTCTGTCTGTTAGGCTGCCTCTGTGGCAGAAAGTGTTTGCCAGGCACAAGCAGGGACACCATCCTGGAATGCTTTGGTTAGGGCTTCTATGTAGATGTTGTTTTGCTCTCCTGCCACCTCAATTATTCCTGATATGGGCCTGGGACACCATTCTGGCCAAGAAAGCTTTCAAAATAATGAGGAGTGCACCTCCAAATTCTCTCCTAACTTTGGAAATTATTTTGATCCTAAAACAAATTTCTTTAAGCATGTATGCCTTTTTATTATTTTAAGATACAGGCAACTAAGAGGTATTAATCTTAGAGTATTACATAGAATAAGCCATGAATATGGCTGATTTTTTATGTTTTGTTAATCAGAAAAAGGAGTATATCAATTAGATCTAAGTTGGGTGAATACTGATTCAATTACCTGGGAGCAATTTCTACTAATAAAGACCATGATATTTTAAGGAAATTTTCATAAGTCACTCACCCCAACTATTCTGATTGGTTAGAGAATACATTCTTGACAAAAGCAATCAGGAGCAGGTCTTTGATCTCATGGCACATATAAAAAATAATATTTATGAGGCATGTTGGATGGAGAGATGCTTAGAGGCAGAGGTTCCCTTCCCCATCAATGTCTCTGCATATATAAGCCAGACAGTTCAGATCAACAGTGGCAGTTCTTATCCTAAGTGCCTCTAGCAGATACAATAGAATATTTTAAAACAAAACAAAAACAATGCCTGGAACTACTCCAGAGATTCTGATGCAATCAGAGTCTGCATCCCAGAGTGGGATCTGGGATGTTTAAGTAGCTCACCTGGTGATTCTAACTGCAGCCAAGATTGAGAATTACTCATATTTTGGAGCAGTTGTTCTCAAACTTTAGTGGGCTAAGAATTACCTATGGGGTTTATTAAAGTATAGACTTCTGGGTTTCAGCATGGAAAACCTGATTCAATAAGTCTGGGTGGGGCCTGGGAATTTACATTTCTAGCAAGTTCCTTGGTGATGTTGTTGCCCCTTGTCTGGGGACTGCACACTGAGAATTACTGCACTAGAGGAGTAAATTGCTTCCATAACACATTCCTGTTGGTTATCTAATGTGGCTATAGCTAGAGAATGTATAACATTATCATATAAATTCTGCAAGGAGGCAACTGAGTAGATGATGTAGACAAATTTAGTCTATGATACTAGTAATTTATTATTGGAGTACTATGTGGCCACATTACATTTGCCATTTCATTTATACTGCATTCAACTCTGAGTTGGTGTCATTGGCCCTATTTTACAAATGAGGATGCTGAAGTGCAGACATGTTAGCAATGGCTACAGCACACACAGCTGGTGGTGGTCAGCATCAGAATTCAAACTCAGGTTGGTTTGACTGTGAAATCCTTGTTTTTAATTGTTTTGCTATTTTTTCTCTGCAAGATAGAAAAAAAAAATCACTATGTATATATCTAAGAAATAAAATAGTATTGCTTAGGAAAGTTACTCTAAATAAGACTAAATTAGCTAGTTCCCATCTATTGACTACCAATGGGGGAGCTTGTCTTGGGGATATAATTACTACTCTGCCCCTCCTGCTCCTGAAAATGGGAGGTGGTACGAGGTTGGGGCAAGGGGGATTGACTAAATTGTTGACTACAGTGAGATAGAAGTTTTTTTGCCCAACACCAGGTGACAGTACCTCTAGGTCCATGGGCAGTTCGTGTCCAAACTGTATCGTCTTGGCAGCTTCTATTACTGCAGCCTGATCTCGGTAGGAAGGAATAATGTTGTACTTGAAACTCAGTTCATCTATAGGCAAATTGTATTTCCGAGCATGGTTTTGAAGAGTTCCTGTAAATATGAAAACCAGAAGACTAGGTCCTCCAGATAACACTGCTACTCCACATACATTGTACCCCTGCACCCCAACCAGGCTGCTCTAGTATTAGAGAGCTTCCTCTCCATAGAAAATGCAATTATTAATATTCAACTAGAAATTAGTTCATACATGAACTGGGGTCACGCTGGGTGGTAAGAATCCAAAAGATGTACAAGTTCTGGCCATGGCTGGGAAGAAAGGAAAGAAGACTAACTCTGAAATGAATGGCCCTGCCATGAAACAAACTGGTGAGAAAAATTTATGGCCAAATATCCCTAACTTTCTATTTTTTCCATATTTTTATTGGTGCATTACAGATGGACATAAAGGTGGAATTTGCTGTTACAAATGTGTGTAAGTACACAATATAACAATATAATTTGGCCAATATCATTCCCCAGTATTTCCCTTTTCCCTCTTCTCCTCCCTTCCTGGTCCCTTTTCTAGGTCAAACTGATTTCTCTTTGATTTTCATGAGATCCCCCCTCACCTCTCTTTTCTTTATTCCACTCTAGATTTCACATATGAGAGAAAATATATGACTCTCGACCTTATGAATTTGGCTTATTTTTTAACATAATGTTCTCAAGTTTTATCTATTTTTCTGCAAATGGCATAATTTTATTTTTCTTTATGGCTGAAAAAAAAACTCCATTGTATATATACCACATTTCTTTACCCATTCATCTGTTGATGGACCCTTAGGCTGGCTATTGTGAGTTGTGCTACTATAAACATGGATATGCCTATGTCACTATGATGACTTTAATTCTTTAGGATAAATACCAAGGAGTGGTATAGCTACATCATGTGGTGTTTCCATTCCTTGTCTTTTGAGGAACCTCTATACTGATTTCCACAGTGGTTGTTCTAATTTACAATCCTACCAACAGTGTAAAACTGTTCTTTTTTTATCCACCTCCTCTCTTGCATTTATTATTGTTTGTCTTCTTCTCCTTCTCTCTCTCCTTCTTCTTTTTTTGGTACTAGGGATTTAACACAGGGGCGCTTAATCACTGAGCAACATCACTAGCCCCTTTTTAATATTTAATTTAGAGACAGGGTTTCTCTAAGTTGCTTAGGGCCTCACTAAGTTGCTAAGGCTGGCTTTGAACTCATAAGCCTCCTGCCTCAGCCTCCAGAGCAGCTGTGATCATAGGTGTGTGACACCATGCCCGACTACTGTTTGTATTCTTGATGACTGCCATTCTGACTGGTACAAGATGAAATCAGTGTAATTTTAATTTGCAACTACCTAAAGCTAATGATGTGGAACATTTTTTTTCATATATTTGTCAGTAATTTGTATTTCTCCTTTTGAGAAGTGTCATATGCACATTTATTAATTGGGTTATTTGGTTTTCTTTTTTCTGTGTGTGTGTTAAGTTTTTTTGAGATGTATATATTCTGGATATTAAACCTCTGTCAGAAGAGTAGCTACTGAAAGCAAATACTTTCTCCCATTCTGGAGGTTCTCTTTTCATATTCTTAATTGTTTCTTTTGTTGTGCAGAAGATTTTCAACTTGATGCAATCCCATTTATCAACTCTAGGCATTATTTCTTGAGCTTTAGGGGTTCTTTTGAGAAAGTCATTGTCTGTGCCTATATGTTGGAGTGCTGATCCTATGTTTTCTAGGATTTTCATAGTTTCTAGTATAATTCCTAGATCTTTAATATATTTGGAATTGGGTTTTGTTCAGAATGAGAGATAAGTGTCTAGTCTCATTCTTCTACAGATGGATAACCAGTTTTCCCAGTACTGTTGATTAAAAGTCTGTCTTTTTCTCCAATATATGTTTTTGGCACCTTTGTCAAGGATCAGATGACTGTAGATGTGTAGGTTTGTCTCTGTGTCTTCTGCTCTGTACCATTGCTATGTGTCTGTTTTTATGTCAGTACCATTCAGGTTTTGTTACTATAGGTCTGTAGTGTAATTTAAGTCAGGTATTGTGATGCTTCCAGCCTTGCTTTTTTTTTTTTTTTTTTGCTTAGAACTTCTTTGACTATTCTGGGTCTTTTATTCTTCCAAATGAATTTTAGTACTATTTTTTATAGTTCTATAAATAATACCATGGGAATTTTGATAGGGATTGCATTAAATCTGTAAATTGCTTTTGGTAACATGGCCATTTTAACAATATTAATTTTCCCTATCCATGAACATGGAAGGTCTTTCCATCTTCTGTGTCTTCTTCAATTTCGTTTTTCAATGTTCTGTAGTTTTCATTGTGGAGGTATTTCACCTCCTTAAATACCCTTAACTTTAGAATTTTACCCAGCTTGTTTTATATGGATTGTTTATTAGGGATTAAGAATGAGATAAGTTAAGGGATGGGCTAATTAGAATCTAGTTGCTCCAAATCCCATCCTCTTTTGGAGCTCTCTAGCCATATTCCCCAAAGGGCAATGGAGGAACATCAAGAGCACTTTTTTGAAGATTTTTTAAATTTGGACACAATACCTTTATTTATTTTATTTATTTTTATGTGGTGCTGAGGATAGAACCCAGTACCTCACATGTGCAAGTTATAGCTGAGCTATAACTCCAGCCCCCATCAAGAGCACTTTTAGAGCAAAGGAGACTGCTCAGAACTGGGGCTGAAAAAATAGAAAGCAGTTGATGCCCTTGAGTGTGGGTCAAATGGAGAATTGAATCACACACAGTCTGTTCATGGATTCAGGAGTGCCAACTCTTAGGTAATCTGAGGGAGCAGGAATTAGGTTACTAGTGAATATCTGGTGTTTCCACCATCCTCAAACCCCCACCAATAATCAAGGAAGCTCCATTTTCAGGACATTAGCAGACATGCATTTCCCCAGCTCCTAGAAACTGGTGTATAAAACAAAACAAAATGAAAATCTTTTTCTGTGAGATTTTCCTTGGGAAAGCACCAGTACCTGTTAGAAATCCTTGAGGAAAGAAGAAACCAGAGATCCAGAAGGATTTGGGCTGTCCTCTTCTGAGCCACAACTGAAGGAGAAACATATGGTTAGGCACTTTATTTCTGAGTTTGTCATCTAAATCAAAGACATATTTGAAAGGTCCTCTTAGGAGTTAGTTGTTATCTCCATTTGACTGCCTGCCCTGCTCTACTCCCTTATCCACCAGTCCTATTGCAAACCCAGAACCTGGTTAGTACAGGGATGGATGAGAGGGAGATGGCAACAAAGTCACATCTGACTTTTTGGACCCATGTTGGATTTGCTCTGTACCTTACAGTGGGGTCCCATGCACAGCTAAGACCCCAAGAATGGACTGGGGTTAAAACTGAACATGAGGTTTTAAGAACATAAGAGAAAATGATAGAATCAGTACAAAACTTTCAAAGTCATGCCATTCTAGCAGTTTCTACTTCTCTGGGCTTAGATGATCCCTCAATAGTTGTTAGCCAGAGATTCCCAGGGACCTTAGGGTTGGCCACATGAGATTTATCAAATTACAAAGAAGAGAATTTTCTTACATCCATAAATGCAATCCTCAGAATAAGGTCTTTGACCCATGATCCTAGTGGCTTCAGAGATGGATATGCTGTGTTGGACCACAGAGAAGGAACCTGATTGTTAAGGAAACTATTGTACACCTTTTCCATTTCTTCAGACATCACCACTAATCCAGCAATGGCTTTGTTGAGTGTATCTAGGGAAGTCTAAAAGGACAGAAAGATTGGTGTCCTGTTACAGATATAATTATCAAGTGTAGATGACATTCATGACACAAAGGGCCTACTGGCTGTTTTCCATCCTTTTTGCACACTGTTTTCTGGGTCAGGCTGCAATATTTCATACATTATTTTGGGATATTGGGGTTTGAACCTGAGGGTGTTTTACAGTGCACGAACTACATCCCCAGTCCTTGTCATTTTTATTTGGAAATAAGGTCTCACAAAGTTGCTGAGTTATTGAGGCTGGCCTCAAACTTGCCATCTCCTGCCTAAGCCTCCCAAATTTCTGGGACCAGAAGAGTGTGCCACCTGCCCAATTATTTCATACATTTTTATATATTATAACATGTGACTTGGGGATAGGAGAAATTTTAGGTAGTTAATAGCAAAGTCCAGTGGAAAGAAGGGGAATAGGAGAGCTGAGAAATGAATAGAATGGACTTATTAGGGGGTGCCTAAATCCCAAAGATTTATAGAAGCTGATATCAGAGGGTCTCTTTGTGCTGCAAACACTTCCTTAAAACATTTCTTTTAATTAAGTTGTTTTATGTGCTTTGCCTTACGTGTGTTAAATTTAATAATAAAAACTTTTTAAATTGGATATGAAAAAAAAAAACATTTCTTTTACCCTTTCTTCCTCAACAAAAGGCAGAAGCAGGCAGTGGTCCTGGGAGATGCTGGGCTGGTGGCAGCCACAGGGAATACAGGGTGACATTTGCTACCTGGCTAATGACAAAGGCAGAGTACATAGATTGGTGATGGCCCTTCTGGGTTACAGGCTTGTGAAAACTGCCATATCTTGAGAAAATATAATAGTTAGACTTTAGAGGCAAAATTTATGTTGATTAAACGAAAAATAAGGCCTAAGGATCAAATGTACATGGTCCTAGAGACAGGTAATGTGTGGATGAAACAAGGCTCAGTATCTTTTCATTTCTTCTTAGATTAAGTTTGGTCCCCTCCTCTTGGCACCTCTTTACACAAGAGGCAATGGGAGGAAAATAAAGGGGGGGGGTCTTCCAATTAATTTGTCTTAGGATCTGAAGAACCATCTGCAACAGAGTGCAGGAAGGAAGGACCAAGACAATTCTCTATCTTAGAGTAGAAGTGGAAGGTAGCAAAGAGAAACATGAAATGAGAAAAATAGAGGGAAAAGACTCTTGGACCTTCAAGGCCTGCTTAAGGCAGACAGAGGCCATGGGGTAACGATATTGCCCAAAGGAAATAGCTAATACATATATGTTTTAAATGGGAAAAAGCATAGCATACTTTAAATGCTTCCCTTTCCCTACAGCTAGAAGCCTCAACAGCAGGGGTGAGGGGGTCCTTACCCCCAGGACCAGACCCATCTCACAGTTCTGAAGTTGTCTAGAGGAAAGTAAGCTCTCCAGGATGGCAGCCCTTAAGGCCTCCAAGTGCTGCCTCCTTCCCTTGGCTTTTCTGATTTCCAGCACAGTGCTGCCTTGCTGCTCCCAAAGTAAGATGAAGGGGACAAAGCCAGGTCAAGACAGGACTGGATAGAGTTCAGGAGGCAGAAGGCGTCCCGTACAGGGTCAGCATGCAGGGGTGGGAGTAACCGAATGTGATCTGAGGCTAGAAATCACATTAATTCACTGTACACTCTAATATTTATGGATGATTTAGTATGTCAGTTACTAAGGAAGTAAAATTGACCAATACACCAGTTCCCTGTTTTAAGAAGTTTTTGTTGGAGCAGTGATATTCCTAGGGTAATATACAAAAAAAAAAAAAAAAGTGTTGTTAAGTACAATGGTAGAGACAGCTGAAATTTTGGAGCCCTGAAAAAGGGCTTATAAATCATCTGGTGGTACAGGGAAGTGTTGGTATTCCAGAAACACATTATGGAGGAAGTAACATCTTTGACATCTTCAATTAGGTGAAGTATCATAATCTGGAAAAGGCAGAAGATGAGCAGCACTCATCTCCTTTTCTTCCTTAGAACAGCAGCACCCCATTAGTTTTGGCTAGGCACATGACAAGCCTCCTGGAAACTATATTTCCCAGCCACTCTTGCGGTTAGGGTGTAGCCTATTACCAAGTTTTGGCTAATGGACTACAAGAAGAAATGACATATATAATTTCTAGATCACCATTTTCTAAGGAAACTGCTTTTCCTTGGCTCTTCCTTTCTTCTTTCTCACTGGCTGGTGAAAGATATTAGTGGAGCAGGAATCTAGTCCCTAAGATGGAAGTTACCTGTTGAGGCTGCAAGAGCCAACCTGCTTATCCGTGGAAGAACTCACAAAGCAGAATGAGTTACCTGCCCTAGATAGGGCTTTCTCTGGAGTGTGAAGGAATAATAAAGTGAATTTCTACCTTGTTTTGTACTGTATTGACAGTTTTATCACAGTAACATAACATGTACCTTTATTCATTCAATAGAAAAGGTGTTAAACACTGACCTAGTCACCTGACTGGCTGACATTGGAATGTACATGTTGAAGAGCCATGGTCCTAAGGTGAGAACTTCACACATTCATCTGATCCAGTTCCCACTTAACAAGTCAAGCCACGCAGCAACAAATGGAGACATTTTTCTCAATAGGGGACAGAAATGGTCTTTGACTTTAAAAAAATCTAACTCAGTTCTCCCCAACTTATCCCCAAGTCCTGCCCATTGGCCAGGTGTTAGGTTCCCTGCTGAATAGTAATACTATCTGGTTAAGGGTCCACACTTGGATTATAATAGTATTTTCTCTTTTCTCATCAAAGATACACACAGAGAAATTAGGAAGACCTTTGGCCATCAATAAAATAAGAGGCAATCTTAAGAGAGACAGTGGGTTGGGGGAGGGAATGAATCTGTGAACACAAGGAAAATGATCTAACAATTTGCAAATTTTAATTGTACTGAAATCATCTGGGGAGTTTACTTAAAACTCATGGGGTTGGGGTATGGCTCAGTGGTAGAGCACTTACCTAGAATGTGGGAGGCCCTGGGTTCAATTCCTACATTACTGAAAACAAAGAAAAGCTTCACATTCCCAGGCCCTACACTTGAAGAAATTCTGATTAAGCAGGTCTGAAATATGATCTAGGAATACATTTTTTTCTTTTCTTTCTTCTCTCTCTCTCTTTTTGAAATAAGATCTTGCTATGTTGCTCAGGCTGGTTCCTTGTGTCTGCTGCTGTGCTCATTTTCAGGAATCCACATTTTGAACACACACCACAGAGGATTCTAGTGCAGGCAATCTGTAGCCCACACTTTGAGAAACTTTGGTTTTCACTGTCTTGCATAAAAATTATATTATTAAATGCAAAGTGGACAGTGAAAACAAGTACTGATTCACTTTCAATTGAGAACATAAGCCCCTGATCAATTTCTAGTTTGTCAGTGGAATTCTAAGGATAATGGAGAGACTAAGAATTTGTAATGTTACATATCACTCAGTCATTATTAGAAAAAGGGAATACAGACTTTTTAGAGGAGGATAAATTCAATAGACAAGCTGGATCTGAAGAGTTATTAGCACATCCAAAAGGAAATGGTGAAGTGATGGGAATTGAAAACACTAAGGACACTTTTATCACTTATATTATATAGTTCCCCTACAAGGTTTTGATACCCAGTAGAAATGATGTAGATGAGCTCTCATACATGTATTAACTTTAGTAGATTGTTAAACCGGTCCACTTCCTGGCCAAGAACGGTGGTTAAGGAGTTCAGGCGTCCTTGATGATCTTTAACGAAAAGGCTCTCAGAAGCACCCTCCATTTCCAGTGTTTCTGAAACATACACAGCTGACTCCTCAGATCAGTCATCATTGATTTCTGTTCTCATTACATTCTAGTATCCTGTGCTTAACATTTTTTTCTAAAGTCAACTTATTTCATTATTTAAGACAGACACACATGGCTTAAATGTGACAACATTTCTTTAATTTATAACTCTTTGGTGATTCACCCATTTATATAGAAGCAATCACAGAAATGCAAGCTTAAATTCATGTGTATCAGAGGAAAAGTGAGTGAGTGTGTGTGTGTGTGTGTGTGTACATAAAAAGCATTATAATAGCACATTTTATTTCTCACCATGGGTATTTTTATCTGTGCCAGTATGTGGTCTTTGACTCTGAGACAAGTGATAGGTCCTTGATTGCTTAAGTAAGATAAAGAGAGACTGTGCTGATGTAAGTAGGACATGAACAGAAGATAGTAAAGAAAAGACTACTCCTTTTCATTCTGGATGACTATGGAGATGAGGAGAAGGATTGAGAGACAAGAGAAAGAAGCAGAAGGCCAGCATGACTTAGTGGTTCCTGCTACCTTGAGTGAGGGGTTTGTCTGAAAGACTCTCCAGAGGTTGCTTGGCTAGAGGGCATGAGATTGTGTGCCTAGCTTTGGATAAGTGAGAGACAAATGCTTGCAGGTTGAAGCAGCTACATGATAGACAAGGGGCATTCCAGAGCTTAGAGGGGCCAGGGATCCATGTCTTCCCCTCTACCTTATGGTTATGTAAGCCTTGTTCTTCCCTGCATATCTATATTGTATCCAGAAGAGGAGGGTTTGGTGGTGGGAGACTCAGAGATGTGAGAGACTCAACATTTATCCCAAGTTGCTAAACATTATTTAAAGGAATTAGTGGAATTATTAAATAGGTTCATGGCTCCATCAGGATTAAGAAAAAGTAGATCTTTTTTTCCCCCTCATAATTCACCAAATGGAGACTTAGATGAAGAACCACATGAACTATAAAAAAGGAAGAATTGCATTTTCCTTGCATATTTAAGGAAAGTGGGAGTAAATAAGGGGCTCCAAAATATGTACATCAAATTCCTTCTTAAGCACCCACAATTTGGCTGCTGGAGAAAAAAATAACCTAGTAGTATAGTTAGTCCCATCTCTTGGGTCCATAGAATTGCAGTTACATGTGTCTGGTAGTCCCTGTCTGCCATTCCCTTCAGGAGAAATTCAAACCCTCAGTTCTTTTGTTGAGCCAATTGCACCTCAGGCTCAGCAGATGAACTGCTTATTATTTTCATAGTAAAAGTATAAGTTTCCTGAAACTTGGAGAGAAAAACCTCCTTAGTGTCAATGAGACTCTGTGAAACAAGTTCATGACCTCTGCAATCATTCATTTGTCTATTCATCTCTTTTCCACGTAGCTTTCTATCTTAAATTTGATTAGAAATTGCTTCCCAAAATAACTGACTCTACTTCAACATCATCAGAACTCTCTACCCATGTAGATTTTTTTTGTAGGCCTGCTCCTTTGGGGTAGATAATTGGCTTGTTCTGAGGTCACATGGTTGCTTTTCTTCTGGAGGTCTTAAGTGTATTGTCAGGACTCAGTAACTGTTTTTTTCCTCCTCAGTTTTCTTTTTCCTATTTCTTTTCAAACCATGAGCAACTAAATTTTGGAGTATAAATTATGGCCACTCTAAGCAAAGTATGAGGGTGGATCTCTTGTGATCATTCAGACAGGTTCCTTAACTCATCAGAAGTCAAGGTGAAAGTGACAGCCATTTCTCTTGAATGGGGAAAAAAATGAAAGGACTGTTAAATTGAACTTCGAATGATGATGGAAATGCTTTCCCTCTGTGCTGCCCACTTGAAATGTGAATAGTGCAACTGAGGAATTAAATTTTAAATTTATTTAATCTAAGTTTCAGTTTAAGTAGCCACATGTGGCTAGTGGGTACTGCCTTGGACAGGGCAGGTCTAGAGACTTTAGAATTCATGAAGCCAAGGAAAACTTGGGACAATGTCTGGTTAAAGTTACATGGGGCTAGAATTTGCTCTTAATACTTTTGGCATCTGTATGTTTAAGAAATGTAGGTTTCTAGTTGGTAAGTGGAGAACTCCATGTCAGATAAGCTCTCTTGGCAAAGCAAAGTCCATGTAATAAGGAGGTCTGAACATCTGCTCACCACTCAATTATCTGAGTTAATTCCTATAATTCCCATTTTATACAGATGCAAGGAATTATTTATTACCTGGAACTCTGGTCCAGACAGAAGAAACAAGCTCTTGGACAATTTCATCATTGCTTTTTCCTTGTCCACCAGCAGATGATCTTGGCTGAACATCAAGTATGGTATTGATTAAAGTGTTGGTTTCTTTGTACTATAATGATGGTAAGAGAGAGAAGACTGATGACTCAAATTTCCCAAAAAGTAATTTACAGCACATATAGCTTACCTTATGGAAATAAATATACATTTAAGTTTTAATTTAATTTAAGCTCTCTATAGTTTATTCATCTCATGTTACTTCATCTTCATGCTCATTGATTAGTAAGAAAGACAAGCTATCTTATTACATTGTTTACATCATTTCATTGACTTTCTCTAGTATATTGTTGATCAGCTGGATCTTGTCTACAACTTTAGCTTAGGCTCCCTAAGGCAAACTACCCTTCTTGGCAAAGTACTTCAATTCCTTCTTCATAAAAACAAACAAACATACAGCAACAAAACCCCACTAGCCTTCTGTGGCAAATTGATCACCATGAGACTGTGGACTGAATGAGTAGTGCCCAAGGCACTACTGATTAAAGAAAAATCTCCTTAGCTTGGAAAGCAAACCTCAGAAAACTTCTATTTTGGCTTTAACCCTGCTCCCAGAATCATCTTTTCCCTTTCCTTCTTCATTTATAGGAAAGTGGAAGTTCTCCAGCAGAATGACAGACCCAGCAGCTGGCCAGTACAGCGTCCTTCCATTTCTGGGCCCATATGGTTTTTCAAGAACAGAACAGCTTTGCTCAGCAGAAATTTGAATTCTATGGCAACTGGCTCTAAAGATTACTTGTCAGGAAAGATGGTGGAATGAGATGTACATTATTACACTAGGTATATGTATGACTGCACATATGGTACAACATTATATCTTGTACAATCAGAGAAATGAAAAGTTGTGCTGTAATTGTGTACAATGAGTCAAAGTGCATTCTGCTGTCATATATACCTAGTTAAAATAAATAAATAAAGTTTTAAAAAGATTACTTGTCAGGAAGATAAGCAAAAGAAAAGATAGTAGAATGAATCTGACATAGTTTTCCCATGTATCTATATGAAAACAACACAGTGAATCCCACCACCATGTATATCCATAAGAATGGGACTCTTAACAAGAATAAGATATAATCCATGCTTGTATAATATATCAAAATGGATTCTGCTGTCATATATAACTAAAAAAGAACCAATAAAAATTTATAAAATAAAAAAATGTTAAAAAAATTATTGTATTAAAACAAACAAAAGATTACTTGTCAGGCATGAGGATACTGTCAGGATGCCTTAGGTGACTCATAAATACAGCTGACTTGTCTCCAATGTCCAAGTATTAACTGGATGTTTGAGACAGCAACCTTGATTTTCTGGTTGGCTGTTATCTGACTGTTATTCATAGGGACATTATAATTCATTCTCATAACAACTTACTTCCCCTTCACATTCACCTTGTTCAGAGTCAGCTATAAGAAAGTGACATTTTGGCAATATAATGCAAAACTGGGGCTCAGACAGCAGGAACGACAGCTACCAACATATGCTCTGAATGTGTAGAACAATCTCCTTCCCTGACCATTCCCAGCTCTTTATTAGTTTCTGATAGGCATCTATGTAACTTGCTGGGTAGAAGAAATAATTTATACATTTTGTGCCAAGACTTTATTGATTGCAACAGGCAGAATTACCTAACCTAATGTGAGTCTCAGATGAATGGTAGCAGAATATGCTACTCCAAAATAAGCCACTTTGACCTAAGGATTGCCATAAACTAAAGGCCACTTGGAAAATAGCAGATTGAAGGACGTTCTAATCTCCCCTTTTCTTTCTGAAAACAAAACAGAAGACCTCCTTATATGAAAGATATCCTCCCTGTACCAGGAGAAAAGAAACATTCTCATTGTCAAGAGCTTGTTGTATAAACAGACCTTGACCATACTAATCTTCTTTAGCCACCCAACATAATTAAGGTACTTTCCTATAATTAATTGCCTCTCTTTGTTCAACCTAACACATAGCCATATAGGTTTTACCAGTTCTTTGGGGCTTCCTTAATGAAATGAAAGCTTATATTAAATTGTAAGTTTTTCTCCTGTTAATCTATATTATATCAATTTAATTCTTAGACCCTAAGAGTGTAGAAATAAAATTTTGCCTCCCCTATACAGGCATGAATGGATCTAACAACACTCTCTTGCTCATGCTTTAACTGTTTCCTCTCTAAAGGGCTCTCAGAATTTTTTCCTAATGAATATGGGCTTCTTGCATGTGGTTGATAGGAAGAGATGAAGTATAAGGGACAAGGTCACAGATGGCTGCAGAGATATATCATCTAGCCAATGATTCTAGAGAAAAGAGAGCACCCTCCTGCCAACCTGTATCTGTGTATGTTATCTCAGGAAAAGACTGTCATTCACCTAGCTTGGTTGTATGTGTACACCTTGGATGAGCTAGAGTGGCTAAGGGATGGGGCACTCACTGCCTTTGTCCAGGCCTGTGTCACATATCCACCTCTGTTCAGGTAGAGAGTGGTTGGAAGTCTTATCAGGAGTTTGTGCAATGGGGAAGGGGCAGTTGCTCCAAAGAAAGAGGTTAGGGTGGGGCATGTATTAATCCAGAAAAATGGAGGAAGGGAGGCTGCATAGAAAAACACCTCTGGAAGCCCACTATATACCTTCTCTCTCAGTCATTCTGAAACCAATGGAAAACACAAAAATCTACATTTCTGGTACACTCTTCCAAGAGTTTTACCCCTACCAACAGTGCTATCTTTCTGCTGTTAGCGTAACCATATCCACGCTCACTTTTTCCTTCTTATACCCTCCCTTTTTAACCTCACGCTCCCTTTCCCCTTCCACAGCAAACAACCAGACGGGGGAAATATATTGACAGTAGGTTTTGCTACCAGTTTTTTTCTCCTGAAAATAAGATAAGGAAAAACATGATGCATTATTCTAACTCCTTGCTGAAAGGCAAAGCAAAAAAAAAAATTTCACTGGTAGAGGACATAAAATCAGGTGTCAAAACAATGACCCTTTTGTGCTCTCTCTGGAGGTTCCACTGTTGTTTTGTGTGGATTCCTTGATGTCTAGGCAGACTTCTCCTTCTAACATTTCCAGCAGCAAAATTTATGTCAAAAGATGATCTCCTTAGCCTTGTGGGGCTAAATATTTAAGCTTTAGAGATGTCCAAAGCCCCACAGGGGCACACCCTTCTTTTCAAGGCTTTGGTTCACCATGGATATCTGTGCATGATGGATGATGAACCTGAAAGAGTAGGCAGTGTCCAGGTCATGAGAGATCTTCAAGTGCCATGCTTAGGAGTTTTGACTACTTGTAGGTAATGATGTAGCATCAGAAAGTCTTGCCCAGAGGAGTATAATAATCCAGTTTGTTCTTTGGACTTACCGCTATATGAGCATTTGCAACTATACTATTATGTTCTAATCATGTACAAAGTACGATATATAATTTCACTTGAAGAAGAGTTTGAATTTTTAAATATATTTCTGGACTTTTATCATTTAATCATGTAGAGATTCAAGCCTTTGTATAACATGTGATAAAAACACCCAGTATGGAGGGAGAAGGGCAGCAGAGAAAGGACTATATTATTATCTGAATTCCCATGTTCTGGTGACTGTGAATAGGTAGATTATTGTTATGTGTCCCCCAAAAAGTTCACATGTGAGACCACACAAAAATTTTCAGAAGTAAAATGATTAGATTATTAGAAGTGTAACATGATCAGTGGATCCTCATAGCAGGTTAATTGGGTGGCCGCTATAGGCAGATAGAGTGTCGCTGAAGGAAGTAGGTTGCTGGGGTTGTGTCTTTAGGGTTTATATTTTGTCTTTGGTGAGTGGAGCTGTCTTTGTGCTTCCTGGTTGTCATGTCCTGAGATGCCTTCCTCTACCACACCCTTTCACAGTGATGTACTGCCTCACCTCAGGCCCAGAACCATGGAGTTAGCCAACTATGAACTGAACATCTGAAACTGAGAGCCAAAGTAAACTTTTGCTCTTCTTTGTTGTTATTATTAGGTCTTTTGGTCACAGCAATGAAAAAGCTAACTAAAACAATTATGGACTAAACAGGAGGCCTGAGGATAGAGAAATTGGAGGAGGTTGGCTGGTGATAGGAAAAATATATAATCTTAGAATTCTGTAAAGGATCCAGAGAGAGCTGTCTAAATTGGAACTACTGTTGAATATAAGGTGAAACAATTACTTACTTACTTACTTAATGATATATATATTTTTTTAAATATTTATTTATTTATTTTTTAGTTTTCGGCGAACACAACATCTTTGTATGTGGTGCTGAGGATCGAACCCGGGCCGCACGCATGCCAGGCGAGCGCGCTACCGCTTGAGCCACATCCCCAGCCCTTAATGATATTTTATAAGTCACAAAGCTAGTGAGGTGACAATTGATGTTTTGAATTTATGTATACAAAATAAATAAATGTTTTCAGTTAAAGGCCACATACCTGGTAAGCCAGGTTGGCATTTTCATGCATTCCAAAAATTTCTGGGTCATCTATCAAAGGCAGATTTTCAATGTAGTCCTTAAATTCTTGTAATTTATCAGCCAAGGGTGCAAAGTATATGCCTGTTATTAAAAACAGAAGGAAAACATGTCTTAAAAAAACTGACTCTGCATTGCCAACTTTGGTTTTTCACTGCCTCATTCAGATGATATCTTCTCTTGTGAAAAGGAGATTGTTTTTTCTAAATCTCCATGCTTTCATTGATGTGTCTAGTTTTGTTACTATTTATTGACACCTTGAGCATCAGTTTAGTGTCTTAACTTTTCAGGATGTCTCCTTCAGAATGTTTAAATACTCTGAGAATCCAGGGACACAGTGCTGAAAGGTATGCCTCTTTAAGAGCTCCAAATTTATGCTTGTGTTAGAAATACTTTCACATTCTGTTTGATAAACAATGATGATCTTCTCTAATTTCTCAAAGCAAATGCAAAACATTGAAACGTAGTGTTACTCAAATTTTCCTAGTGATGACAACATACAACTTGGAATGTAATCAATGATTTACTTCTCAGTGGTAGAAGCTTTTATGAGCTTACTGTCCTAATCAGATTGCTCCCTCCAAGGGGATTAAGACAATTAATTTACCTGCTTTTTGACCCTTGGTGACCAATTCATAGATCTGTTTTTTAAATTAAACTTGCCATATTGGAAATTTTCTTTAATTACATCCAAAATATTCTAAACTATAACTTTGAAAACATATTTAGACATAATAAAATCAATTTTAATACAGAAATAATTCAAAGTATTTACTGTAAAAAATATATATTTGTGGTTTTACTATCAAACTGGCTTTGAAGGTATCAAGTGTGGGAATGGACTGAGTTGCAAGGATTAGACACAGAGGTCCCCTGGGTGGAAAACTGAAAGATGCTGTCAATGGCTTCTTGAGAAAAAAATTCAAATGTCATTCACCTGATTCAGAATATTGATAACTATCTTGTAATGTTTCTGGAGAAAAAAATCTTTTCAAGACAGTACGAAGGCATCTTTGATCCCATGTGTCTGTAACTCTACCGCCATAAGTAATTTCACCTGAAAAGGAGTTTGCATTTTTAAATATATTATTTTTTTAAATTGACAAACATAGCTTAATTATAATAGGTTTATTTGGTACTTAAAATGGAAAAAGCACATCAAAATTTCCTCCCACCACCCCCTCAAAAAAGAATAAATCAGAAAAAATCTAGTACATGTATATTATCCTAGTAATTTTGCTTTTTCCAAAAAAGCTAAAGTCACTGATCTCTATTTACATACTTTTTCCTTTTTCTTGTTTTGCTTCAAAAATATTCATTTTGAGTCATATCTCTTCCTTGACTGTAACATTCTAAAATATACACACTTTGCATGAAACAGTGCTTCCACTCAGGGTCCACAAATAAAATGGAACCAAACATTTGTAGCAAGTCATTTAAACTCTATACATACTTTATAAATTGTTGCTGACAAGCTTGGGAGGAAAGAGATCCATGATGACATAGAGAACTTGCCTCACATAAATTATGATAGGGGGAATTAAAACTTATTTTATACTCTCTCTGTCCACAGAGAAGCTACTTTCAGTATGCTTCATTGTCATCCCAAAATCATGAGTAGGAAGGAACCATACTGGAATGATATCTAATGCTGATATAATTCCTTGGAAAATTCCAGATTCATTGCTGTAAGTCACCATTCATCATTGAAGTGCTCCTGCAAGGTTTTCACCCATGATACTAATAGTGCTGCTGTGAGGATTTAATTTACTAATTCATGAGAAATGCTTACAATAGAGCCTGGCATGAATTAAGAGCAATGTGTTTTCCATACTATTGTTATTGGGGAAAACATCTTTTCAATTTTCTATGTGTAAATATTCTTCATGATATGCTTATCACAATCTTAAATTCACAGAGAGAATTTCAAGAGGCATCATTATCACCACTAAACACTGGGGGAGGACCCCATCTTCATAAGGGTCAAGTAGGGTTGAATCAATAACTCTGTGGTCCACAGATGGATGCCCTGGCTACATGGACATACTGACCAGTAATGTAAATCAGTGCATCCCAGGGAATCTTCCCATCTTGGCAATAAAGGTTGAGGTTCAGTAGAGCACATTCCCTATCACTGTCATTAAATTCATAGCATATATTCCATCCAAGGGGCCCAAACTTCTTTCTCTCCTAGAATAGAAAATAAATAGTCTGAAATAAAATTTGATAAAATTAATTATGTTTAAAATAGTGAAAAAGAAAAGGCGAATATTAAAACTGGGCATTCCTACACTGCAAAATCAATTAAAGTCATGCAGTTCAACTTTAACCAGGCTTTCACCAAAGAGGAGGATCACATCTTCTTTAATACTGGACCCTCTGCATATTTACTACAGAAAATTTGTTATTACTAGAAATTCATCAGATCTTTTTTTTTTTTAAATCTGTTTTTCAGGGTAAAATAAAATATTTCCCTGTCAGAATAGGAAAAATAATCTTATTTAGAGTCTTTTGGCATAAAAATACTGATGCTATAATTATATATCTGGTGAGAGAGAACTATTCCCTACTCTTATAAGGAGTTTTATTCAGGGCTTTCTGTCATACCATATTATGCTTATTACATACTGTCTTCTCCATGGTGATGTTTAAAAAGAAAATGGTACACATAATCATAATCTTTGTTTTATGATATCCCTCCCTCTTTGCTATTTTCTTATCCTACCTTAATTTCTTAATTCTAAACTAACAATTATTGGTCCCAAGTTTCTTCCTCTTGATCTCGAATTTTCACTACTCTTAAACTACCTCCTCATCTTAGCATCATCTTTTTATTAGTGGAACAGCAAAAGAGCTCCTGATAGCCAGAGCCTCTGATTTCCAATTTCTCAGACCTCTTCTAGGACCCTTTTGTTTATCTATCCCATATCTTGCACCTTTAATCTTCTTTTTTTCTTTACTGATTCTCTTTCTATAGAACACACACAGTTGAAGACCAGGATTCCAGTCTAATCAAGACACCACCCAATGATTCATAGTTGGAGAGTCAGAATTAGAGCACAAGGTCACAGATATGAATACCATACCAAGCAGAGTCTGGATCAGGGGAAGGAGACTGTTTCTGGGTTGAGGGTCATCTTTTGGGGGACTTGGGGCTTCAGTAATACGTGGAGAGGAGGCCACTAGGTTGGTGAGTCCACTCAAAGGAACACGTAAAAGTGAAATTATTGTAAAATTAACACGGAGGTCTTGATGGTTGACAAAAATATATGGGTGAAGAGGAAGAATAAAAATAATCCTGAAGTTCTGATTGTCACTAATTGAGAGAATGGAACCATTGATTTCAGAATTAGAGACTGGAGGTGTTATGGTTTAGATGTGAGGTGTCTTCCAAAAGCTCAAGGCAATGCAAGAAGGTTCAGAGGAGAAATGATTGGGTTGTAAGAGTCTTAACCCAATCAGTGAATTAATCCCTGATGGGATTAACTGGTAGTGGTAGGGTATGGCTGGAGAAGGTGGAAATTGGGGTGTATCTATGGGGTATACATTCTGTATCTTGAGAGTGGACTTGCTCTCTCTCTCTCTCTGCTTGCTGCTTTCAGTGATGGAGATGCTTCCCTCCACCCACACTCTTCTGCCATGATATTCAGCCTCACCGGGAGCCCTGAGGAATGGTGTTGAACTTCTATGGACTAAGACTTCTGAAACCATGAGCCTTCAAATAAACTTTTTCTCCTCTATAGTTGTTCTGGTCAGATCCTTTAGTCACAGCAGGTAAAAAGCTGACTAAAACAGGAGGGAAAGCAGATTTTGAGTGTGAGGTTGAGTTGAGGAGATCAGTTTTGTATTTGTTGAGTTGGCCCTACTCCATTGATTTAGATGATGGTGTTCTGTGGGCATATAGCATGTAGGTGGGAGCCAGTATAGCTGTGAGATACTCATGCAAACTGAGTATATAGATCACTAGTTGAATTAAAAGAACTTGGGTTCAAATCCAGAATAGGGTCCTTAGTGTTTCACAGTGCCATTCGTAAGCTTTCACTTATTTTTTTTTAGTACTTATTTATTTAGAAGATAGTACACATCTTTGTTGCTATTAAAAAGCAGAATCGAATATACCTGAATAATTGCATGAAAGAAACAAAGGCCAAATATCATTTGTCTCCATTTTCTTCCAAGGATATTTTCTTCGAAAAATGAAGGTGTCATTTCAGTAAATGCTCGCCTGATATTTGCACGTAACCCTTTGGGAGGCTCATTGGTTACCTGGATTAAGATAGAACATATCCAGAAGAGAGGGTGATTTTATAGACTTGCATTATTTCTGAATAATACACATAGACTGAAGACACTGAGATGATCTAGCTAACTTTCCCACAAGGGCCTTCCTGGAATGTGCAAGTCTACTTCGTATCTTGTTCAGCCACAGTCCAGGAAGAATAGGGCCTGGCGGGGTCCTCAGATCTATAACATTGGAAGCGTCTGCATAAGAGCCTTAGACACTTCCATTTGGTGCTCATTTTTCTAAACATGGGCCAAAAAGCATGCTAAGACTTTCTCCATTGGATTTTTCAGTTATCTCAAAATATGACATCATTCCAGACTTTGTCCCATAACATAGGGCAGGGAGGAAAGAAGAACCTCTTATTCCTCATTCCTTCCCACATATTGGAAACTTCCTGCACTGAAATTCAGCAGCTATAACACCTGAAGGCCTTCTTCTCAAATGCTGAAACATTCCCATTCCTGTGGGACAGGATGTGTTGTTATCACTGTACACTTAACATTTTCTTTTGAAGGGTAAGAGCTGGAAGAATTGAATGACAAACAGGACTAGAAGATGCAAAGATAGTCACTGTCTTGCGACCTAATTTCCTCCACCTGCCTATCAGTTGAAAGGATATGGATCTCCACCTTCTCACCCTGACCACATAAACTTCAATGTGGTTCTGTGCAAGGTCTGAGCTCCATGGAGCTCCTAAATGAACACCAACCATTCCCATTCCAACCATGTGCATACATTACCTTGACAGAATTCTGAAGAACTGTAACAGGAAATGTAGTACTAGGCATAGAGCTTAGAAAAAGTCGAAAAGTGTCCTTGATAGCATGAGCTATTTAAAACAAAGACAAAACAACAAAAAAGGAAAATGTTTAGCTTGTAGTAGTACTTTTTTTTAATAAGAAATAAGACTGTTTTTTGAATCCTAGTTGTGTAACTTAACTGAACCTGCCTAGTACTCAAATTTCTTATCTATAATAAGAGCAAACACAATGCCTACAATAAAGATCTACTCTAAGAACTTGATAAAATGGTATTATTATGCAAATGTATGTGCTCAACATACTTGGATCTATGAAGGATTTAATTAGCTCTTCCATGGCTAACATCCAAGAAACAGCAAGATGGCAGTTTTGCAAAAATACCCAGTTTCCTGATTTCATTGCATCCTTGATCATTTTCTCAGCAATGGGTCCTTGTCCTTGTCCTAGTGAAATTGACTGCACTCTGAATTGAACAACAACAAAAAAGAGACTGTGTTATACTATTTTAAAGCAATGCAGATATTTTAAAAATGTAAATATGCTATGATAGTCTTCAAATGCCAAGTTAATGGGATCGTCCACTGGATCACTTCTGTTTCATATTACCATTATGGGAGACTGCTTGAATTTGAAATATATTTCATATGGAGTGGTCAAAAACAATAGTAAAACAGACTTAGGCCAAAGAAAGAAAATTAATATTTATAAAATAAAAGAAGTACAGAACCAGGAGAACCACCAATGATCCTAGGATATCCAGAGCTCTTTTTTAGGGGTCTCAGGTTTTGGGAACATGATAAATATGCAATTAGTCTTGGAAATCACTTTTATCAGTGTTATCTATCAAGGTGAGGAACTGCTCCTTTGGAGAATCACTGGCCTTCACTGGTTACCAAGCCACCTTTCCTAAATAGCCCCTCATTTCCTGGCCCCATCAGTCAATTTCACCGGGGCAAGGACAAGGACCATAGTCTAGTTTTCCCAGCACCATTTGTTGAAGAGGCTATCTTTTCTCTAATGTATGTTTTTGGCACCTTTGTCTAGTATGAGATAACTGTATTGATGTGGGCTTGTCTCTGTGTCTGTTCTATTCTATTGCTCTTCATGTCTGTTTTGATGCCAGTATTATGCTGTTTTTGTTACTATAGTTCTCTAGTACAATTTAAGGTCCAAAATTGTGATGCCTCCTCCTGCTTCGCTTTTCTTGCTGAGGATTGCTTTGGCTATTCTGGGTCTCTTATTTTTCCAAATAAATTTCATGCCTGCTGCTTCTGTTTCTATGAAGAATTTTGAAAATTGGAATTTTAATGGAGATTGCATTGAATGGAATAGCACTTTGGGTAGTATGGCCATTTTGATTTCCTATCTGACAACATGGGAGATCTTTCCACCTTCTAAGGTCTTCTTAAATTTCTTTTTTAAATGTTCTGTAATTTTCATTGTAGAAGTCTTTTGCCTTTTTCGTTAGATTTCCCAGGTATTTTATATATTTTTTGAGGCTATTGTGAATGGGATGATTTTCCTAATTTCACATTCAGCTAATTCATCATTGGAGTACAGGAATGCAATGATTTATGGTTGTTAATTTTGTAGCCTGCTACTTTGCAGAATTCATTTATGAGTTATAGAACTTTTCTGGTGAAATTTTTTGGGTCTTCTAAATAAAAGATCATGTCATTACAAAGTTGAACTAGTTTGAGCTTTTATTTTACTATTTGTATCCTTTTAATTTCTTTCTTTTGCCTAATTTCTCTGACAATTACAATGTTTGCCTAATTGCTCTGACAATAACAATGTTGAATTGAAATGGTAAAAGTGGGCATCCTTGTCTTGTTCCAGGTTTTAGGGGGCATGTTTTCACTTTTTTCTTCATTTAGAATGATGCTGGCCTTGGGTTTGTTGTTTATAGCTTTTACAATGTTGCGGTATATTGTTTCTATCCCTACTTTTCTAGTGTTTTAAATATGAATGGATGCTGCATTTTATCAAATGCTTTTTCTGCATCTATTGAGATAATCATGTGATTTTTGACTTTCCATCGATTGATGTATTGAATTATGTTTTCTGAATTACGTTTTTTTTTTTTAATTTTTTATTGTTGGCTGTTCAAAACATTACATAGTTCTTGATATATCATATTTCACAATTTGATTCAAGTGGGTTATGAGCTCCCATTTTTACCCCATATATAGATTGCAGAATCACATCAGTTACACATCCATTGATTTACATATTGCCATACTACTGTCTGTTGTGTTCTGCTGCCTTTCCTATCCTCTACTATCCCCCCTCCCCTCCCCTCCCCTCCCCTCTTCTCTCTCTGCCCCCTCTACTGACATTCGTTTGTCCCCCTTGTATTATTTTTCCCCTTCCCCTCACTTCCTCTTGTATGTACTTTTGTATAACTCTGAGGGTCTCCTTCCATTTCCATGCATTTTCCCTTCTCTCTCCCTTTCCCTCCCACCTCTCATCCCTGTTTAATGTTAATCTTCTTCTCATGCTCTTCGACCCTACTCTGTTCTTAGTTACTCTCCTTATATCAAAGAAGACATTTGGCATTTGTTTTTTAGGGATTGGCTAGCTTCACTTAGCATAAACTGCTCTAATGCCATCCATTTCCCTGTAAATTCTATGATTTTGTCATTTTTTAATGCAAAGTAATACTCCATTGTGTATAAATGCCACATTTTTTTTATCCATTCATCCATTGAAGGGCATCTAGGTTGGTTCCACAGTCTAGCTATTGTGAATTGTGCTGCTATGAACATCGATGTAGCAGTGTCCCTGTAGCATGCTCTTTTTAGGTCTTTAGGGAATAGACCGAGAAGGGGAATAGCTGGGTCAAATGGTGGCTCCATTCCCAGCTTTCCAAGAAATCTCCATACTGCTTTCCAAATTGGCTGCACCAATTTGCAGTCCCACCAGCAATGTACAAGTGTACCCTTTTCCCCACATCCTCGCCAGCACTTGTTGTTGTTTGACTTCATAATGGCTGCCAATCTAACTGGAGTGAGATGGTATCTTAGGGTGGTTTTGATTTGCATTTCTCTGACTGCTAGAGATGGTGAGCATTTTTTCATGTACTTGTTGATTGACTGTATGTCCTCCTCTGAGAAGTGTCTGTTCAGGTCCTTGGCCCATTTGTTGATTGGGTT